CAGGTTTGCCACAAACAATAGCCCCCGGTGCCGTGGCCTGATGTAGGCATTAGCGAGGCTCAATAGGGGTTTATTGAGTTACTATTCACAAAGCCCCGTCAGCACCATGTTGATTACTGTAGTTTATTCTCGACATTTCTACCTGCAACTGGGGTCATGCCCTTGTCCACCTGTCCGCCTTACCTGTACCTGCGTTACACCTGAGAGCTCCGCCCAGAATGGGGCATCCTGGCGTTGCCATGGCGACTGTGGACGTGCCTATTCTCGGGTTACCCCGGGGGTGTAAGCTATCCCCCCTCCGTGCTGCATGAGTTGGTGAGGACTATGTGCGCTGACGATTGGTTTACGTGTTTTGTTCGTGTCTCTGCTGTTGGGACAACAGGTTTAACCATGGTGCAGTCCACACGAACGTAGTGTTTTAAAGTCTTGTCGTGGATTTCAGACAATTTGAAGGCCTTTACGACTATCCTAAACATCTTGTATCGTATGAGGGAGGTTGTGTATCTGTGAGAGCGTCTGCCAGTTTCCAGAACAGTGAATACACTTGGCACAAGGTATGTACGTATGTGTGTTTTAGTGCTTGATATGCAAAATCTACCCGTAGATGGCGACAGTATAATGTCAAGTGCTTAATACGCAAAACTTCAATAGCCGTATATGGTGGATGTATAATTCTGTGTGAATAGTGCTCCCATTGTAGCTTGAGTCATAGCTTGAAGCAGGTAGGCGTGTGTTTTAGTCCTTAATATCCAAACCTAATCGTTGAAGGCGACTAGCCTAATGTGGTGTTACAGTACCGTACGCCTTACCGTAGATAGCAACAGTATAATGTCATATACGCAGTCCTTTACTGTAGACACGCCGTAGATTAGAATATGACTTAAGGCAAGTGTTAGCCCGCCTTAGAAAGTTGAAGTCGTTCAAGACTTAAACTGTCGCTCGGTCGAGAATTCATCTTAAGTGCAAGCGGGCCCCGCTTGTAATGTGGAAACATGGTGAGATGTGTTTCCAAAACACCGGACCGTGTCCGAAGTATGTCCAAGTGTTTAGACAATAAACTTGGGAAAGTGTTGCAGGTCTTTAACGAGAAAAAAAATCAGGAACTGTACAGTCAGTACCCTGTTTATCATTTTTATTAGATGAACGGTATTTGTAAGAACAAAATGTGTATGTCGGGAACATCGTGTGTGTCCTTCTCCACACAACAGTAGAACCAGAGAAACAATTGGAACAGATGTTGGCGGAACTTAAACTAAAACTTGAAGCCTACATTCATGTTGTTATCTGTCAGTTGCGTTTCTGGTAAATTTTAGTCATCCGAAGGTGTTGGGAACATCGTGAACGTGCCTCGCCAACAGTCGAGTCAACTGAAGACTCGTCTGGTATTTGGTCAAATTATCTCCATGCAGAACTGACAGTGAGTTCAGAGTTGTGAATGTTAGAACTGACCCGGCCACAAACGCACCTGTGCCTCTGTGTATATGTCTTTATTACCCCAGCCGGTAGCGGGCTAGCAGCAGGCCATGGTGGGTGGGATAATACAATCCTCCCTACCTCCCGTGACTCGGTGTTTAGGCTATGTCTCAAATCAGCTCTCCTTTATGTAACGTAACGCCAAGTTGTAGGGCAGTTGTGTGTGTGTTTTTTTTTTTTTTTTTTTTTTTTTTTTTTTTTTTGGTTGCTCATATGTGGGGCTACTGAACTACAAAGTTTAATGGGAAAGTTTAGTGAAGTCCTTCCGCAGCTAGCTTTGAACGTTTTTGACAGATCTGGGTTCGGAACTGGTGTGTTACGGCCAAGTAGTGGTTTACAAGTTACATGTATAAGATTCAGAGTTGTGCTGCAGTTACGTAATAGAAATGTAGTAAGCATGCAGAGGACCGTCTATCATGAGCATAGATGTTGCGTGGCTAAATTAGGTTTTCCTGTACACTTGTATCTTTATTGAGCAAGTATTTTGCCAGCTGTAAATGCCCTGTTTGGATACACTTCGTACATAGTTCAGGTGTTAAGTCTATACTGTTTGAGGAATGCGTGTGCCATTGTCAGTGTGTTCCATGGCGGTACGTTCTGTATCGAGTTTACCCCTCCCCAACAGGACGTGTTTTGTTAACGTAAGGCACACCGCAGTCGGGCCGGTACGGCTGGTAAAGACGCTATTTAAAGGTGGTCACTAGTATCGTTTTTACTCTACAGACCGGGTCAGCTTTAAAATAAACAAACTCGTCAAGTTTTTTTGTGAAGAGCGTTTGATAGAATCACCTTTTTCAACTTGAACAAAACATCTAGCGTGTCTAAGCTCTACGTCTCTGGTCTCCAACATTTAACACAGAAACACTGACAGTACATGACAGTTGTTGATAATATACACAAGTCTTTAAAATTTTCTTAAGGGGGGATTTCGCCACTATAGCCTGTACTTTGTTTACTTTACATTGTTGACAATACGAGCGGTTGTTTACAGTAAACACAATGCACTGCTTTACAGATCCGCCACTCAAGTGCCTTGTGACTTGGCTTTTACATGGATAACATTCATACTGGCTTGCAAAAAACTCGTATTATGTTTCTACTTAATACTATCTTCTATATGTAAAATATGAATTGACATTTGCCTCAGTAGGTAACCATGACCTTGATTATGGTCCCTATACTAGCGTTGCTATAACAACCGTACTGAGTGCCCATTGGCTGGTTCTGAAGTGGTGTTAGGGACCCAAGATGTCGTTTTCGGCTTGAAAGTGGCCAATTATGCCGCAGTTTTACCTTGTTTAACTATCTAGGGCAACGTATTGTTCCGTCGGATAATCTAGTCATACTTAAAGTCAGGAAGGATAATGTTACGTGGATTTTTTCAAGGCTTGAGTTTGGGTTACGATTGTGTTGTGTGACAGTACAGATCTGGTCCAAGCATCGGGGCTTGCCACATCTTAGCCTCAGTACGTGCATTGTGATCAGACGCATTGTCTTACACACACAAAACGACGTTTTCATACTATTACTAACTGAAGGAATACACCATCTTCAAGTACAGGCGAGACAAAGAATTTTTATTAGGGACAAAATTTTTTTTACTGCAGGCAAGGTACACAAAAACAAAGACATAGCGGCTCTGCGCTCAAGTACAATAACTTATATTACATCTCCACAATTTAGTTGTTATGTTTGAGTTATTTTACGTTTGTTTACGAAGTTTGCTAAGTTCGTTATGTGTAAGACTTTACACAATTCGCAGCACATATGATATCATATAGATCTGGTCCATAGTCCCTAGCCCTGTGTCTGACCTGATATTGACTAACCCCAGGTTCGGTAAACCCTCCCCTCCCTGCCGCCGCCATCACACCCAAACACCCTCCGTCTGAAGTACCGGGGTTATCCGGGGTCACGCCAAGTCTCACCCGCTACCATGGCAACGGCGCCTGATATACCGCCAACACGTCTCTTAACCTTTTGTGTTGAGATGAAACAACGTGATTAATTTTCTAAAGTTCAGTTCGGCGGGAGGTTAGTAATATATAAACAGCCTCGAGTGGCAGGCGGTGGTGTAGTGCTTGTCTGGCAATTCTGCTACTGGATCAGAGAGTTTGGGGTTCTAATCCCATCCTACGTACACGGCAAGGTCTAAGCTCAGACTGTACGCTAGTTGGGGAATTTGCGGTCCTTCATAGAGGGTACTGTAAGCTGTACGTTATGCACTTGAGCTGAACTTCACCTTGACTACGGCAAGGCCAAGGTTACTATTATACGACCTTTCAAATCCTTAGACAAATTGCACTTATCAACTCTGAGTGCAGAACCAGTGACTGGTACAGCAGTCTTAAGGCTTATGCTATGATATGCTGAATGAAATGTTAATTATGCTATGCAATATGCAAAATGTGTGGCCTATGTGGCAGAGACGGTAAAGACGGTCATTCTTGTATACATGTAGCTTTTCAGCCATAGCTGTAGCTGCAATGCGGCTTTGACTTTAGATTTTACCATGGTCAATATTGACAGAAGGAGGCCATATAACGTTACATGCTATTCAGATGCCACAATGCTTGTCAAAAAGAATGCATATGTTGAAATATCTCACAGTGTTCTAACAGCCAGCCTAACCTCAATGCCCGATCTTGTGCCCTTGGGAAAGGCACACGGCTTTCCTCACTTCGCTCAGGTGAAAATGAGTATTGTATTGTCCCCTGTGTTGGTGGCGGCATTAATATAAGATGAAAAAAACTTGAGTGTGCCGTCACCACATCGTGTGATTTTTACATGTTGGAATATAAAAATTAAAAAATTAAAAACGTCCCTCCCCCCTTCAGGTCCGGACATGATGACGTCGACCGTGGCGGGTTCTACAGTTGCCACGGTGACGAGCGGGCGGCAGCCGGAGTGGTTTGAGGACCAGCGGGGCGTGCCCGAGCAGCAGTCCAAGTACCTGCTCAAACTCAGGAGTCTGCGCGAGGGGCTCATCAGGCAGGAGCAGGTAGGACATAGGGGGCTTTACTCATCAGGCAGGTACAGGTAGGACATAGGGGGGCTTTACTCAGGAGTCTGCGGAAGGGCTCATCAGGCAGGACAGGTAGGACATAGGGGGGCTTCACTCAGATGTACATGTTGTATCTGAGACTTACTCCATCTCTCTCCTTTTCTGTCTTTCTTCTTCCTTTCTTTCCTTTTCCCTGTAAATGTGTCTCTTGCTGGTTCACGGTTTCCGTTTTAATTCTCTCTCTCTC